CCAGTGAAGCATCGTCCTCCACAACTACACTGAACAACAAAACAACAGCAACTTGTCTGTTCCCCTTCCCCCCATTCCACAGGGCTGTTTCCATCCCCCAGTTCCTCAATAAAAATCTTTTAAAAAAATATATTTCCCAAGAACATATAAATTAAATGATATATATTAAACTGTTAACTTTGGGCAAGGAGAGAAGAAAAATGGGAGTACAGGGTGGTGATAAAAGGATATTTTCAAAGCTAGAGAGAAAAATATAGCCAGGAGCAACCACCAACTTAACCAAATGATCAAAGTTAACGTCATCAGCAGTAGGAAAATCCAGCATGTGCCTCTTGATATGAGCTAAAAGGGACACATCACTTGTGTACTCTTCTTGCCAAACATATGTAACCCAAATTTAAGCAAAAGGAACCATCAGAGGAATCCAAATTGAGGGATATTCTACCAAATAACTACCTTGTACTCCAAAATGTCACAGGGAGATTGGGGAACTGTTCTGGGTTAAAGGAGGCTAGAGAAATAACTAAACATGGGATCTTAGATTGGAACTTGAACCAGAAATAGGAATAATAGCAAGTCAAGTAGTGAAATCTGATGCCTAGATTATATTATATCAATGTTAATTTCCTGATTTTTATAACTGTTTCACAAGCTATTAACACCTGGGGAATTGACAGACTATGTGAGCCCTCTATATTTGAGATGTAACTCACACATCATCAAATTCACCCTCTTAAAGTATACAATTCAGTGGCCTTTAGTATGTTCAAAGTTGCGTGACTATTACCAGAATACTAATTCCTGAGCATTTTCATCACCTCAAAGGGAAACCCTATACCTATTAGCAGTCACTCCCCTCTCCCTCCTTCTCCCAGCCCCTGGCAACACTTCATCTGTCTCTCTAGACTTGCCTATTCTGATCATTTCACACAAATGGAATTATACAGTATCAGGTCTTTCGTGTCTGGCTTCTTCCACTAGTGTACTGTTTTCAAGGTTCATTCATATTGTAGCATGTATCAGTACTTCATTCCTATTAAATGGCTGAACAATATTCCATTATATGGATATACCCTTTTGCTTATTCATTCATCAGTTGATGGGCATGTGGGTTGTTTCCACCTTTGGGCTATTACGAATAGTAGTGCTGCTGGGAACATGAGTGTGTATTTGTTTAAGTACCTGTTTTCAATTCTTTTGGATGTATACCTAGGAGTGGAAGTGCTCAGTCATATGGGAATTCTTTAACTTTTTGAGGAAATGCCAAACTTTTCCAAAACAACTGCACCATTTAAAAAAAACTTCCAGGGCCGGTCGAGTGGCGCGATGGTTAAGAACTGGCTTGGGACGCCAGAGGGCCCTGGTTCGGATCCCACATATGAGGGCCAGTGACACTGCCCTCCACAGCTAAGATGCTGAACAACAGCTCAACCTGGAGCTGGACTGCCGTGAGTCGCCGGCGACGGCGTAGGCTGCAGCCCCTGTGGCAGTGGGTTGCCATGGGCTACCGTGTGTAGCCAGCAGCCAGCGTGAGCGGCCAGCAGCCGGTGTGAGCAGCCGTCCAGAAGCCAGTGACTGATCTGCCTTGCCTGGGAAGAACGTAATGATGGTGCCAACTTGGGCCAGTGAAGCAACGTCCTCCACAACTAGACTGAAGACCAAAATGACAGCAACTTGTCTGTTCCCCTTCCCCAATTCCCCAGCGCTGTTCCCATCCCAATTCCCCCAAAAAATCTTTGAAAGCAAACAAACAAAAAACTTCCACCAGCACTGTGGTTATATTATTCTTATAAGTTTTTTAAAGTCTGAAATTGTTTCAAAATGGAAAAGTTTAAAACAATGAAGCCAGATGCTGTGCCTCTTCTAGGAAGATCTGCATCATAGAGAGTGAGGAAAAAGTGAGAAAACCAGCCCCTGGTCAATCTTGCTTTGGAGATCAGTTCAATACAGGTACATTGGACTTGAGAGTGAAATGAAAACCTGACCATGTAACTAGGGAGTTCTTCACACCAGGCCCTATTGTCAACACTGTCTGGTTTAATGAAAGTCAAAGGGATTCAAAGAGCACCTCAAATACACGAGTGAAGATGGAAGAAAGCAAACTGTCCCTTTAATATTATGATTAAATGTAAACATGACACCCAAAGACCTTTAGCATTCTTCAAAGGCTATTATACAGGCCGGCCAAGTGGTGCATTGGTTAAGAGTTGGCTTGGGACGCCAGCTCTGAGCAGCAGGGTCCCGGTTCGGATCCCACATAAGGGCCAGTGATGCTGTGCACTCTACAGCTAAGATGGTGAACAACAGCTCGACCTGGAGCTGGGCTGCGGTGAGTCAAAGTGATGGCCTAGGCTGCAGCCCCTGCTGCAGTGGGCTGCCAGGAGCTACTGTGGGTGGCCATCCAGTGGCCGGCGACAATCTGCCTCACCAGGGAAGAACGCAATGATAATACCAACATGGGCCAGTAAAGCGACGTCCTCTACTACTAGACTGAAGAACAAAAGGACAACAACTTGTCTGTTTCCCTTCCCCGATTCCCCAATGCTGTTCCCTCCCCCATTTCCCCAATAAAATCTTTTTTAAAAAAGGCTATTATGTATCTCAAGTGGAATTAATTTCTCTTCCCAGGGCACAAAGGCCAGTGGCTTAGGTACAGAATAGATGGAACTAAATGGTGAATAGAAAGCCAAAAGACCGACAGACAGACACACACACAAAAAGCAGAATCTTTTAAAATCTCTAAGACATTAGCTTTATTTTTACTGAATTCAGCATTGAGTGACAAAAAATGCATTACATCGTTATAATCAACTATTACACACACATAGACGTTTATCCTTGCATTCCTTATATTCATTTTTGTATTTTAAATCTGATAATTCATACTAATGTAAAATACATACATGATTTCTTCCTAAAAATCCCTGGTTTGCATAAAGAAGGGTTTATAACTTCTTAAGAACTTATATTCCTTTATTATTGAGAATTTATTTTTTTATTAAAATTTATTTGGGTGACAATGGTCAAAATAACTACATAGGTTTCAAGTATACAATTCTATAATACATCATCTATACATTGTGTTATGTGTTCACCACCCAGAGTCAGTTCTCCTTCCATCACCACATACTTACCTTTACCGTCTTCTACCCCTTACCCTCTGGTAACCACTAAACTGTTGTCTGTGTCTATGAGTTTGTGTTTATTTGCTTATCTTGTATTTTGCTGTCTGCAGTTTTGTATCCCATGAGTGAAGTCATATAGTTCTAGACTTTTTCTGACTTATTTCACTTAGCATAATGATCTCAAGATCCATATTGTTGCAAATAGCAGTATTTCATCTTTTCTTATGGCAGAGTAGTATTCCACTGTGTATATACACGGATGTATACCACATCATCATTATCCAATCATCTATTGAAGGACATTTTGGTTGTTCCTATGTCTTAGCCATGTTTTAATGGTTTAAATTGCTAGTTTTTTTTAATGTTTAGGATTAAATTTATTTACCAGGAGCAGACAAACAAAACAATGTAAAAATAGTTTTCCAGAAGGTATTTTCATTCTATTCTTCCCTTTCTACTGCAACCTGGTGTTTTATCTTAACAAGTTCTCTGTCATTTTATTAAAAAGCTGCTCTTGTTCCAGTTTCATAAAAGATGGTGAAAGGTGGTAAAAAGTCCAGTTCGCCTGAATTCCAGAGTTCACTCTAAGGAACAAATGATGGGGTAGTGTTGGGGCTGGGTGAGAGATATGCATTCTGGTGAGACAGAGTTATTCACAAAAGGTACGGGGCTGTGGTAAAGGAAGAACAAAAATAAACCTAGTTCTGGTAGGTGGGCGAGAAGTCAAAATGAGGAGGAAAGGTGAGATAGCAGGGCACTGTGATTATATACTATGCCTTCGGATAGTAATTATGACTAGAAACCAAATAATAATAGCATGTAAGTGATTAATCTGTGAGAGTTGGCACAGAGAGAGAGAAGGATGGCATTACATCATATCTTTGGCTCATTCCGTTTCCTAGGCTGGTATGTAAGACCATCTTGGGTGAAATCATAAAATCATTCTTTGATAAAGTGAACAGCTTTCATGGGGTCTTTTCTCTGCACTCTGTCCAATGTTAAAGCCCACTGGTTCATGTCTCCTGTAGAAGTGTTATTCCAAAACAGTACAGGTGAACCACTGATGAGACAGCTATGGAGAACATGTTTCCAGGTAGCCTGAAACCCAGCAGACAATGTAGCTGTTGCCTAACAAACACAGAAATCTACATTGTATGCCAGGTTCATGCCCCAAACCCGGATGTAGGGCCTGTAAGACTTCCTCATATACTATTGCAACACAATCGACTGTTGTATTCTAGGTTTCTAGTATTCATCCTCTCTACCACAGGGAAAAGAACCACAAGTTAGAATGCACTGCTAGGACTTAACCTACTGCAAGTGTAATTTCCTTAAACTGTCATACCATCAAGTTGTCATGATTTAATCACATTATTATGAGAATATAATTTAAAAGTCCAGGGATGAAAAAGATGGATGGATGGATGGATGGATGGATGGACAGGTAAGTAGGTAAGTGGGTAGTTTTGTGACCAAATGATTGATTGATTTAAAGAAAAATGATTTTTTCCACAGGGTAAAAAAGGAGAGAAAAAGAAAAAAATCAAACGATGCATAAAATATCCAGATTCCTCCCCCCTTGTGGTGTTGAAATCAAATACAGCACATCATTCATAAAACCTTTATGGTGTCCACATTCTGGCTAAAAATGGAAGACTTACCACTGTAGAACTTAACTCTCTGCATGTATATGTGTGTGTAAATCAAGGTACAGTTTTCATTATTAAGGACTTCCCAACAACCTTGGCTCAGGACACAGTAACAGAAGCTAGAAGATGCCATCAGAGACCCAGTAGCCAGATGTAGCTACTGATTACTAAACACAGGATCTACACTGGCTACTGAGCCATTGAAGGAACCTACACATTCCAGCAGCGAGATGATCCACAGCCTTCTGGGTAGGGGCTCTGTGGAATGAAAGAGAAGACATCAATCCTGAAAACTTATGTAAAAATTGTACCAAGAGATTTCAATTGCATGTTTTCTTTATTGACATTCTGACAATAATCCCATGTATATAGATAGTTTTTAAAAACTTCTAGATTTACTTACTTACTCAACATGTATTGATTGAGTGGTATTGAGTGAACTGCCAGATACTCTCTCAGGTGCTAGAGATCAAGCAGCAAATAAAGATGAAAATCCCTTCCCCTCTGGAGGGTACATTATTGTTTGTGCGAAAATCTACAGCTGATTATTTTGCATAATTTGCAGTAAATTGGTTTATACAGAGGGCGCCAAAAAAATGTATGCACATTTTTAAAAAGGAAAAAAACTATTAAAATTGTAATATTCAGTATATACTGATAACAAAAGAAAAATACAAGTCACATTTGACTTCTGCAATTACAAGAGGTGCTCAGAGTGGTTACCATCAGTATCCAGACACTTCTGATTACAGCGAACTACTGCTTGACAAATGCTGACCAAAGTGTCCACTTGTATACATTTTTTGGCACCCCCAGCACCCTGGGTATATGAAAAACAAACAGTATTATAATCAGCAAAACGAAAAGCAAATGAGCAGGCAAACAAAAAAGCTCAATCCACCATTTTACTGTGGCCTTGGAGCATCTTTGTTTGCTTTATGCCACTTTAACTTTATTAATCTAGCAATGATGCACTATGTAAAACAAATTGCAGTAAAAATAATTTCCTGATATAAATTGAGGATAGTGATTTCTACCAAATGTCTAAAAAACCAAAAACATGTTTACAGGGCCGACTGAGTGGCGCGTTGGTTAAGAACTGGCTTGGGATGCCAGGGGGCCCCAGTTCGGATCCCACATATGAGGGCCAGTGACACTGCCCTCCACAGCTAAGATGCTGAACAACAGCTCAGCCTGGAGCTGGGTTGCCGTGAGTCGCCAGCGACGGCGTAGGCTGCGGCCCCTGTGACAGTGGGTTGCCATGGGCTACCGTGTGTGGCCAGCAGCCAGCGTGAGCGGCCAGCAGCCGCAGTGAGCGGCCGTCCAGAAGCCGGTTACTGATCTGCCTCACCTGGGAAGAGCGCAATGATGGTGCCAACTTAGGCCAGTGAGGCAACGTCCTCCACAGCTAGACTGAGGAGCAGAACGACAGCAACTTGTCTGTTCCCCTTCCCCAATTCCCCAGCACTGTTCCCTTCCCCCAAACACCCCAATAAAAAATCTTAAAAAAAATGTTTGCGAAGTTTAAAGCAGTAGCTCACCAGTATGTCAGTTTCAAGCTATCCTCCCATAATACAATGTAGGTATAAAAAAGAGGAAAGTTGTCCTCCTTGATTCATTCACTCATTCATTCAGTCAGTCACCCCAAAAATGCCTACTAAATGCTTTCTCCGTACTTTATGCCTGTCACTGGAGATGTGACGCTGAATGAATTCCCTGAATTCATGGAACTAAGTGTCTAAAATTTAAGGTGCGGGTAGAGATAGACTGAAAAGAAACAATATGTGTGATCATTTCATTGAGTAATGCAACAATGAAGAAAAATACTATTTTCCATAAGGAAGAGAAAGCCTCATTGTAGGTGTGACATTTGTGCAGATCCCTGAAGTAGAAGAACTATGCACACACCTGGGGTGAAAAAGGACACAGCAGAGAGACAAAGAAAGAGTTGGAACAAAGGCCCTGAAGCAGGAAAAAGCCTGGTGTCTTGAAGTTCTTATATTAGCACTCCACCACTGTGGCCCATTATTGTTTGATTTTTAGTATTATTCCAGAATGTAAATGACTATGCAACTTTGTTCCAAGTACATATTTTAGAATCCAACCTTCGAATGAATTTAACATGCTTTGGCTATCACTTAAGATTGAGGAAAATTGAATAAAAAAAAAGATTGAGGAAAATTGGAAGACTCAGTTGGCAGAAAGACTATATATACTTAGAACTTTCAATCAGCACAATTTGACTGGATATGCAGCTGGGCCATAGAATGACACTCAAATATTTATTGCCCTCCCCCGCCCCCCCGCAAAAAAGTGGCTTTTTAAAAGAAAATTTACTAGCTGTATGAAAAGATAACCGGCTTTCTGGGAGCTCTAAACATATCAATTTCAAGGGAATGCTTCAACTCTTTAATCTCAGATGTCTAATTTTAAGAGGGAGAACTCATTTGCCAAGTTGTAATAAGTGTTTCACCAGGCAGTTAGCTCTTATAGGAGGAGAATGATGGAATTTACAAGGTAAAATAGGTTTCTGTTTGATTACTTATTTAAAAAAATTAATTAAAACCAACTCCATCTATGAAGTATATTTTGGGATTGCCGAAAAGTCAGGGAATATATACTGAAGCGGGCTATACGACTGCTTGTACAGGTTTGGCTGAATCTTACCCTTAATATAAAACTCAAGCATTTATAGACCACACAAAATTACTTTTCATAAACCACTAAAACTAAATGTTCGTAACACGAATTAAACAACTAAAATGAAGCAAGGGCTTAGTTTTAATGTAAAAACCCAAAGGATTATCTTTTATAAATTGTGGGCCATATTTGGATTACAAGAATGTTATTTTTATTCTCAAAGTTTGCCCTATATATTCTCCAAATATTCCTAAATCCAAAGAATTATAAAGTTTAGATGGTCTTTCCTCCTTACTTTGAAATTTATCTAGGTAATACAAAAAGGAAAAACTGTAAACAAAATTTTACTAAAGGCTATCCTACAGATTAGTAGAATAGCCTGTAAAACAGTTTAGTAGTCAACCACTAACCAATAATACACATTTTGAAAATTTATTAAAGTATATAGACTAGAATATAAGGACTATACTTATACTATTAACCAATAGTATATTTTCAAACTTTATGAGTAAAAGTCAAAGAAAAGAAATAGGGTCTAACTAAAAACGTTCTTGTATAATTTTACTATCTAACAATTAAGAAGACAATAAGCCCTGGGAACTGGTGATAGAACTATAACCAAGGTACTCACTACTCAATTCCTATCCATAGTACAAACAAAAGAAAAGATAATAAACAACAAAAACCCTTCATCCATTCTGGCTTAACACCATTTATTTGAGGTACACATAATGGGAAAGTGTTTAAAGGGCAGAAAAGACTGATTTAAAGTTAAGTCTGCCACCTGCTGTTGAAAAGCCTGCTTGGAACTGGGATAAAGACTTTCTTGAAATGTTAACCTAGAATTTGAAAAGCTTACCCTCCAGAATTAGAACCGGGGTGACCTATAAACCAATCCAAGAAGTAAAGAAACCCACTGATGTTTAAAGCCAAGGTGAGAGATATAAAATGGCATTCTCAAGTTTTCACTAAAAATGAAAGAAAGTCGCTTTGTGGGGAATTCAACTAAAAGTAGACTTATCCTGTATTTTAAGGGATTATTATTTTGACACCCCAAATTACCTTAAAACTTTAAAAATTGTACTTTTTTCAAAGAAATTTTCACCCTAAACCCTAAATGTAGAAGTAAATGAAGAATGAACAATTTCATAGCACTGCCAGAATGTTAACCATACCAAGGCAAAATTGTACTTTGACTTTAGATGTCCCCTCCAACTCCCATCCATGAAATTTCATGTATTTTAGTGCATGTACCAGGAGCCTTCCATCACAAAATATAGTCAGCTTATAAAACATATTTATGGATTTCACAGAACATACACCACTACGCTATTCTAACAAAGTAACTGTTTACTTTAGAAAAGAACAAAAACTGCCTCTCATTGGGGTAGATCTCATGTTAAGTGTTCTTACCCCATAAACATGGACACAAAGAAACTTTGGGAAATATTGGATATGTCCATTACCTTGATTATGGTGATGGTGTCATGGGTATTCGCATATGTCCAAAGTCATCAAATTGTACACATTCAACATGTGAAGTTCTTTGTATATCGATACTTCAATAAAGTTTACACAAAACAAACTGCATCCCACATGGTTAAGAACAAGAGTCTAACTCTATAACCCAGGAAAGAAATGCATACATATACACAGTGTGCCACAGGGTGAAATTATGCCAGAGGAAAAACCAACCTTTTAAATACAGGTGTCTAAGTATTTTCTTGTGAACTTAAACTGCTTTTGTGTTACATCAGAGTGTTTCAGCCAGGGTCTCACCATAACCAGCACATTTTTGCAGCCCGTCCAACTCTTGCATACCTGAGATCCTGTGACTACATTGACCAAAAACATTTACACCAGCTGATGGTCACTTGATTCTCATGTCACTCTATTTAGTAAATTGCTCAGCAAGTCAACTTGAAGATTGAGGTGAACATTTCTGAAATGTTCCTGCTCAAAATATTTTTAAGGGCATTCCCTGCCAGATAATTCTAGTCTGAACAGGCCCGAGAAGGGATGGGGTTGGCAATAAGATCCTAAAACAAGCTTCTAAAGGCAAAACCACTCATAGTCCATAAAGAAAGACTCAACTAGTTTTTTTTTAATGATATTAGCCATTAGGTGCATGCCTTTAATCCTCAATGAAAACCAAAAATTTTAAAACAGTCATTGGATGAAAACATGAATCATTGTACTCACTAAAAATACTCAGAAAAAAAAATACTCAGAGAAAAAGGATAATTTTCACCTAAGTGATAGCCTCTTCATGGACAAGTTCCAGAAATTAATTGCACTAAATTCTCTTGCAAATATGTCTCTCTGTCACTCTCCCCTTCTCTGAAAGAAAGGCCTAAGGCATTTTCTTCATACAATGTCAAGAAATGTGCAATAGAGGTAAGAAATTCTTATCACTGAAAAAAAAAACATATATATATATATATTCAATCAATAAGTAAAAAAAAAGGGGGCCAGCCGAGTGGCTCAGTTGGTTAATAGTTCACTCAAGAGTGTGTGCTCTGAGCAACAGGGTCACCAGTTCGATTCCTAGCCCAAGCTGTGCTGCCAACAGGTGGCAGGATGGCTCAGCTTAAAAAAAAAAGTAAAGACAATAATAA